CACACACACACACACACACACACACACACACACACATACACACACATCTACACACTCGGGCGCTTCGCGACTGTTTCCAACAAACCGCAAGTCCACACGCATACTCGCACATATTATAATATCTGATATACCGTTCGATTCAATAAGATTGTTTTTTAATTTCCATCAGTATTTTCAACCGTTGTAACGTGATATTTTTCGCTGACAACAGTGACGTTATGACTGCAGATTATGAGATTATGCAGCAAAAGACGGAGTGGGAATGAAATCCAGGCCATCCAGCACGTTTTTTCTAAATGTAAAATATTTTTTCGTACCAGCTTTTGTATTAATTTTAATTAAAAAACAAATATCTAATTAAAACTTAGATTTCTTCTTTTATTGGTAATATATTACTTAAAACACTATTCTGTAAGACTTATCTAACAATGATATGTTTATGCTTAAGAAGTATATTTTTTATTTTTTATTTATTTTTTTTTGAGCAATTGAAGTCAATGTGATTTCCACCATAACATCAAATTTTTAAGGATTTAGAAAATAAATAAAATTATTATTTATTGATAAGTATGTAAATTATGAAATAAAAAAATATATCGAATAAATTATAGTTATAAAAAACTATTCTCTCAGTTATAAATAACATTTTCATAATATGTTACTTTATTAAATAAAATATAATTGAATTATAACATCAATATAGTAAAAATTAACACTATACACATAGGATGGACCTTTATAAAAGATATAGGATGGATCCTTTAGGATGGACATATTATAAAAAGTTATAAATTATAATTCTCTATTAAATAACTTTCTATTATTTTATAATAATAATTCAAATAACAGCTTCTTTCGCCAACTTTATCTTATTTTCTGTTATCATTATCGTAAATGATTGCAGATTTTTCTTAGTTTTTGTTTTTTCTTGAATTTCTATTCTTCAAATATTTCAGAATTGGGTATTCACATAACATTATGGGTCTCTGTAAAATGTATATCTTTACAAGACTTCCGAAAAATATTTACCATAAATTATTAAAGTTAAGATTCACAAACATTCTCATAATAATTTCTTTATTTTTTATTACTATATTATCTAAATTAATAAAAAAACAAATTTATTTTAATTTATATGTAATTTATAATTTTTTTAAGTTAAAATTTTGTTATAATTGGTTTTGAGCTCAGCGAACTCAATTATGATATCGTCAAAATTTATTATTGAAGCCAATGCTTTCTCCATAGATAAAAGAGCAAGTGAGTTTAATTGTTCTTGACTCGATGTTGCTCTTTGTGTTGTCTAGAGTGAATCTCCCAATTAACTTAAAGGTTTTTCTGCTTCGGGCCCCTATAATAGCCGGATCCAGTGCCGCAATAACCGGGTGTGTTGCGTGTATCAAACACATGGGCCCATGACCCAAGCTTATAATAGGGCCCAATGGTAATATTTTAAAAATATGTAGAAAGCAAGAGAATTAAACCATTTTGTAATAATAATTACTTATGGAGATTGAAAAATTAATGATTGATTTTGTTTTGTATACATCATCGTACATCAACGTTTTTTATTATAGCCTGTTTAATTGGAATTAAAATTAGTTTGGTTACAAATACGGTACGGTTTCTCTGCAGAGTCCGGATGCGGGGGAGGGTATTCATTTTACTTACACACGGGCCCAAGTTAGTGTAGTTGCGGCACTGGCCGGACTCCTGTACTCCAGGTCCAACATCCTCCTCTTTAGCGTATCCTGCTCATGAAATGATACACCTGAAAGCATATATTTGGTTGAATTTTTTGGAGAATACTTCACAATAAGGGAATTGATAATAACATTTTGAATGTTTCGATTTTGGAGAGTAGAGTTAAGTAACATCATAATGAATTTCTCTTACTGTATATAATAACATAATATTTTATAATTTTTTTTTTTTTTTATAACATAATAATTACCTCAAAATGAAAATGCAAAGAAAAAATGTTAAAAATGCCGGTGAATGTCTATTCACACTTAAGAAGTAATCGGTTATCCCAAATTTTAAAAATAATTTGTAAAAGTTCTAAAGAGCAATAGAAGGTAATAGGTTTGGTTCTGCATGATATAATTCACGTTTATTTATACGCTCATTAAATTAAATAGCTATACAGAACTAAAAATTTTATCCAGAAATGTGAACAATTTCTTATTTAATACAATAAATAATTTACATTTGTACAGTCCTTGAATAGTTTATGGAGGAAATTATTCACTAACAACACCTCGTAATATATATAATAATTTATAATTAATTAACTACTTAGTAATTGTTTGGGACTATATGGAACACTGAGAGTGATATGAGGATTAGAGTTCCCCCCGCCCTTTTTTTGCCACTTTAAATCCTGATAACAATAAGTTTTGCTTTCCAAGTATCAAATTATTTTTCAATATTTTTTTAAACTCAAAAAAGTTCATAAGTGTTTTATTTCAGGGCTCTTATAATTCAAGTATAATATAATGTTTTGTTCCTTTATAAAATATGCATGGTACAATATTTATAACTTTAAAATTTTATTGAAAGTATATTCATAGAATTAATACACCGTTATAAATAATTTATGCAATTGAAAGTATTCAATGTATTCGTATAAGAAGTAAATCAATCTTCACCCTACAATAAAATAAAAACGTTTGAAATTCTTTATTTTTTTATTTATCGTAGTTGCAAATGTAATTATTATATATGTATTATAATACATTCGAAATTTTGAACTACCCGATACAAATGTGTTTAAAATATTACTATTTTCAAATATATGATCCTAGCATGCAGTATAAAAAAAATATTTAAAAATAAACAGGAAGGGTGTTAACCTTACCTGGTGGCAAAGAGGATGTCGGTTTAGGGTTTGATACAAATTTGATATCGGATCCTACCCAGGGTTGCTATAGGGATGTACACCGTTCACCTTATTTCCGGTCATCAACACTTTTTAACTTCCTGGACATGGCATAATTATTACTTCCACTGACTGTCCGGTCAACGTTTTTTTTTTTTTTTCATACTTTTTTCTCTCTAGAAATTTGAGACCAACCTAACACAAATATACAAGCATAGGGTTAAAACGGTTTTGTATTAAATATCTTCCTTCTCACTCTATCTCACTCTTACCTATCAGTCTCGTCTCGTAGTCCATCGTGCGCTATGTCCTGTCAACCCAGTAACTCGAGTCGAGTTACATCGTAGAGTCACACGTTTAGATCCATTCCATTCCTATTCGTGTTGGATAAGATCTATTACTGTACGCAGTATCGCAGAGAAAAGCGAGATTCTGCGGTTACGCATTTTCAAAATCCCACGATACCCAATGATATTTGCTTAATGTATGTAAGTTCCCATAATGTATAATAATTTTTCAGTACACCTTCAAATTAATACTCTTGTACCAAAATATTTTTCGTAGAATAACATTTTCAACTTCAATATTTTTGGTCTTACAATACGTATGGTCAAATTGTTGAAAAAATATAGTTAAACATTTTTTAAAATTATTATCATTCTTAATCTAAAATAATTTGCTATTCACACTTTTAATTCTATAATTTAATGGAAAAAAATAGTTTATTGATAGATTTAATAAAATTATTTATTATTATTTTTAATGTAACTTAACATTTGTATTATACATTAAATGGTTTTGTCAGATAACACATGTAGAGTAGGTATCACTTATGTTATTATATCACACATGGATAATATCTCGTGACTGACCCATATTTTAAAGAGCATTTACATGTATATTAATCATTTCAAGTGTGATTCTGTGTTTTTAGTAGCGAAATACTCTCGTCAATGTCAATGTATATATAGGGGACTTGTTATTTTTTCATTTAAAATATTCGTCCATTAATGAATTGTCTCTACGGGTGTTCCTAAGGCGTGGTGTTTATGCATCTGACCAAGCACGTGCCAATAATAAGCCCCAAACAAAGACTAAAAAGATAAAATATTTCTGACAGTTCAAAAAGCAATTTTCCAGTTACAATCTAAAAAAAAAAAAAGAAAAATCATTAATTTGATATCTATATTCTCGTAGATGATTTTAGTAAAATATTTAGAAGTATAGTTAAACTTTTCGACCAAAATTAATTAATTAAATAATTTATTTTTTTTAAATAAGAAAGTCTGGCAACTGTCTGTTTATAAAATATAGATGGATAAAAATTAATCACAAACATAACGTGTGAAAATTATAAATTCATATTATTTACAAAGTATAAATGGATGACGAGTAAAATCTTATCAGTACTAATAAGTAATACTGCAATGTTTCAACAGAATTGAATATAATTTGTTTTGGCGAATTTAGAAATCCTAAAAATAAAATTTTTAAGTTTATAATTAAAAATTGTAATAAAAATAATAGTTACATAACGATATAAGGTAATGAAAAACGATAAAATTTAATTGCTTTTCAATGGGCAATCATATTTACAGTGTACTTTTTTATAAAATATCCATAGTGTGATTGATAAATTTTTTTAGTTACGGAGATAAATAACGCTCCATGTCCAGGGTATTATAGCTCTTATATAGCCCAATATATTTTACTATTGAATATCATTACGTTATATTATAGCAACCACATTATTTGAATACCTATTTTTTAATTTAAATTATTTATAGACCTATAATGAGAAATAAAAAAATTCTATATTTAATTTC